CTCCAATCCTTTGTGGTATCTCTACAGCCCCAAATGACTAATATTTATAATCCAAACCTTGAAATATTCAGTCATCTCAAGTAGAATTCCCTAAGAGGAAAATAGATAAACTTTAAAAATCTTGAATCGAATTTTATTCCATTTTAAAATTATCTTGATAATTTTCATTTTAAGCATGGGAAAAGTAACCTTAAAAACTAAATTTCAAATAGCTACTGGGGGCCCAGGGTATGACTCAGTGATAGAACACTTACTTTGCATGCAGGAGACCTGGGTTCATCCCTGGCACACCAAAACAATCAAACGAAAAGAATGTTTATTATCTCTGCATGGCAGACTCAGGGGTTGATGGTAAATATTGCTAAATAGTTTGTGGCAGTTCTGATTGGCAGGTGGTGTCAGCAAATATCAAGTCAAAGGAGGTTGATTCTAAAGAATTAGATAATCTAATAAACACCAAAGAGTCAGTCAATGAAGAATGCTGCTTGATTGTGTTGTGTTCCAATTTACTGCCTATCACTGTATCACTGCCATCTCGTTGTTCATCGATTTCCTCAAGCAGGCATCAGTAATATCTTCATTCATCCTAGCCATGATATTTTAGCAAGTGCAACATTGGAGGCTCTTTAAGGGTCAGTGGAACAAGACCCATTATTGTTCCTGGGTCTTGGCATATCGAATACACCACGGGGAGCTTGCCAGACTCTGCTGTGCGGGCAGGATACTCTCGGTAGCCTGCTGGGTTCTCGAAGAGCGAGAACTAGACAATATTCGTGCTGCGTGCTTTGGGGAGCTTGGTTGGGGTCTCTGGATCTTGGCCATTGATGGAATTACACGGTGCGGGGGAGGGGGAAATTGGTGGGTGTAACTGTCTAGCTTATTGGAAGATGAGGGATCTGGGTGGAGGAGGCCAAGTCCCAATCTGAGCACACTTAGAGGTCTCAGCCCTGGGTCCTGTACACCTGGGTTCCTCTGCTGGTTCCTTCATGCGTGAGGCTCGTCCGAACGTGTGGAGAGTGGTCTTAAGCATGGCTGTGGCTGGGTTTTGGAGGTCTTCAGCTGCTGGGGCTCTACTTGGGGTGGGGAGGGAAACTCAACCCTCCCCCCTTCCTGTTGGGTAACATTGCTTTGTCCTTCAAGAAGCTTAGGTTTTATCTGGTTACACCCACCACAGTGCTCCAGAGGCACTTCCACTTCCATTGTGTTTACATGTAAGCATGTAAACAGTCTTTCCTATGCTCTCCTTCCTACCCAGTTAATCAGCTTTCCCCTTAATCAGACTTTGTTAGTTTGTAAGATCAGTTTCCCAGAAATCTATGATTTTATATGTATGAGTGAAATATTGCCTTTCTCCTCTCCTTATGCCTTATGAACAATTTACTTTAAGGTAATGTCCTTTTTGTATAGATACAGGAAGACCGTTAACATTATGCTTTGTAATTTAGGATTTGATTGGCCTTGAATATTATTCACTCCCGGGCATCATCTTTCTCGACTTAAGCCTCAGTTGCCCATAGTTCCTAACACCCCAAAAGCAGGGTCCCGACGAGGGACTGAATGGACCCAGGGCAAGCAGTGAGCTACCCTGGCAGCGAAATGGGCCAGGCCAAAGTGCCACGATTCTTAACTATAAGTTAAGAGTTTGATCATAGACAAATGCTGTCATGATCCAAAGGTAACGACAAGACTAGGATCCTGCTAGGGGTGGGAAAGACTATCTGGCCTGAGCACCGTAGTCTGAGATCGAGATGGCCCTAGGAGAGCAATTCTATAAGTTTAAGATATTTCTTACTGTATCCATACAAAATGATTTATATAATATTTTATATGCTTGTTGGACAAGGAGAGGAGAGGCACGCCCATGGAATTCTGCTCTAGGGTGGGTCCTCCTGCTAAGGAAGGATCTGTCCTAGGAGCGGTCTTCCCTGAGGCTAAGATTTCTACCCCTGTTCATCTCCACCCCTATTGATTGTGACCACACCTATGTCATGGTCTTCCCGAATTGCTCTTGGAGGGGGATATAGGGACAGTAGATTGGGCAAATGGGGGAGATAGAGAGAGTAGGGGAGAAGAAGAAAGAATCAGAATAAACTACGACTAATACCAACCAGCCTGGCCCTCGTTCCTTCCCCCGCCTGACCATCGCCATCGACCTCTCCGGGGTGGTAGAAGGGTGAGACTACCGAACGCGAGTGGCGGGAGAGATAGAGCCGCCGCCGTGTGGGTGCCGTGCCCCCCATAGTTGTGTGAGTTTACACACCTTCCCACTACTGCCTAGAAGTAAATAAAGTCGGCAGGCCAAGTTGAGATTAATTTGAATGTTTCCTATATTACCGTGCTATACACTTTATGTAAAGATAAGCTAAGGATAAACTCTATTGAGGACCTTAGTGTTTACTTCTTAGCAATTACAGTTAAATGATTGTCCTTTCAAGCCTGGAATATTGTAGATATTAAAATAGAAAATGCAATGCTGGTTTACAGACTTCTTTTCTTGTATTCTAGCAAGAATCCATTCTGCATTCTGTTCTCACTGTGGACATTCAGATATAACTGTGAACAGATGCTCTCTGGGGGATAGGGGCCTTTACAGAGGAGCTTTCTTGTCTTGGTCTGTGAGAGAGTCAAGTTTTATCTAGAGGAGGAAGCTCAGGGCTCCCACCTGCCTTCCGTGCAAACTTCTCCATCCCCTTCTGAATACCTTTGTCACACTTCTCCATTTAATCACTAGCCAAACTCTTAGTAGTGACAAATAGGACAGAGGCTAATAGTTGTCTGCAGTATGAAAATATCACACATTATTTTCTTTTGTTATGCTTCCTATGTTACTGTGTTATACATCTTAAAACTTAGAGGTGAGCTAAGGTTAAACTCTGTCAAGGACTTTCACATTTATTTCTTGGTGATTATATTTCTTAAGTTATTGTCCTTTCAAGACCCAGAATATTGTTCATATTAAATTATTGTTGAGTAAATGAATGTATTTAGAGCTGAAGCTGTCTTAGGGAAATTAGTCTTCAACGCTTTGAATAGAATTACCCACACTACCTATATAAAATTTACTGGCCAACAGAGAAGATTCAGCTACATGAAACAAATTGAAAAGGATTTTGCAACTCATTTAAGAAACTTTGGTCTTTCCTGTCCAATGTGAGTGTTGAATTTTTTTTACCTTTAATGTATTTTCATTTGTAATTTTCTATATTGCATGATGTAGTAATTTAGCTATTTTATTTATTATAGAGATATCTTTCTGGTAATTTTCAAACTCTACTGTATTTCTAAATGAAAGCACTTAGAAATCACACTTTGCATAGAGAGAAAAGAAAGACCTTTAAATTTATAGTGTAACTATTAAAATGCTTTTAAATATTCCTATAGTACTGAAAAATAATTTCCTTATACATTTTGACCCTAAATAACAAGGGAATTCTACTTATTTTCTAATATCTTTTAGATTGTAATTTGAATTTAAAACATCACAGTATAATAATTGAATTTTGATATTTAGACTGAAATAAAAAATAGTTCATGGATATAACAAAAACTTCTCCACAAGCTATGAATTTGCTTGACTATTATTTCTGTAGTAATTTCTGAGAGAAAATTTGACCATGGGAAATTTGACATTCTCTCCAGGTAGTTATTTCCACGGGGATCAGATAAGATATTCTTTAACTCTGTGAATGGTGAAATGAGTAGAAACACTGCAGAGAGAAGTCTAATCTGTTCCCCAAAGATGCAAGTATTTCAGAAAGGCAGAGCACTGTCTCGGTTAAACTGAAAGGGACCCTTCATGAAGTAGCTCTCTGAACTGCAGGTTTGGTATTTAGTAGAGATTGTAGCAAATCAGGTTGAATAAGACGTTAATATTACTGAGTATCTATGTAGCATCCATTCTTGCTGTCTCCAACAATTTCCAGGGGCTAAGTTAATAATTTTTAGAATGGCTTTGAGAAGTAGGAAACCTGATAGTCACAGGATCAGTCATTTTGTTGATTTTTAATTTTGGTTGGTGGGGGAGGGGTATATTTTTGGCCACTTTTTGATCACAACTGTGATCAGAGTTTACTCCTGCTTATGTGCTAAGGATCACTGCTGGTGGGTTCAGGAGACCATATGGGATATCGGACTTCCATCCGAGCTGCACTCAAAGTAAGTGCTTTACCCACTGTCCCATCTCTCCAGCCTCCAATCTTCATCTACCTGATGAAGTTGATAGTTTCACCAGGCAAGTAGCAAGCAAAATAATGCTGCTGCAATGGTAACAGTATCAAATATGGACCCCATGAAGTCGCTACTAAATTCAAAGGGCAATTGTTACAGACATACTTATTTTTCCCTACCAGCTCTGCTGCACACCTTCTATACCTTAGTCCTTGCACTGGGAGATTGATTCGAGGGCACAACGTAGCCTGGTTGACCACACAGGGCTCAAAGGACTGGAGATAAATAGGAGTCATAGCCAGTGGAAAAACAGGGCTCAGGAAAAACAGTATGACCACCCCGTTTAAATCCCTGGCACTGCACACTTGGGCCTTGTATTAGGCAGTAGAGTCCCTGGGCCTCATACGCACTTTTGTGTGACTCCCACTTTTTCACGTCCCCACCACCGAATAAGCCCTATCCCTCTGATATTATGGGTTTCTGAAAGGACATTTAAAAATAATCAGACATAAAGTTAATTCAACAGTTGGTGTACGGTTGAAAAATTATGTGCTATCTATGTCACAGGAAATAAGAAAACAAACATTTCCTCTGAGGTTTTCACCTATAGATGAAACTGTCAACCTTGTGTGTTCCCTGACTGACCATTTGAAAGAAATCCCTGATTAGCAACAGATTTATAATTCTATCCTGATACTTAAGAAAGCAAAACACACACACACACACACACACAGAGTAACACACACACGCACACATACGTGCATGCACTCGCACACGCGTACACACACAGATACACACACACACACACACTCCCAAACACAGTTATACTGAAGATGGAATATGAAGAAAGATATATGACACTGAATGTACCATCAAAAATGAGAAGTTCTGGACAAACATCCCAACTTAAATGTCAAGGTATGGAATTCCATCTTCTTTGTCATTTGGTGAGAACTAGTGGGGTCTGCATTTAGCATGGATTAATAATAAATTAGACATTAATATGAAATATAGTTTTTAATATTCTATTCTTGGACTGCTCAAATTTTTGTTGCTTTCCTCTCTTTGGTCTCTGCCGGTTTGTTTGCTCTCTCAGTTACCAATGGGGCCAACAGTCATTTGCTTTGAAAGTTGTACTTTGCCCAGTGTTGGGGAGTTAGTTCAATGGGGGTGGGGGAGTGCATACTTTGTATGTTTGAGGCCCGGCTACAATCTCTGACACTGTACGGTCCCCTGAGAACTTCCACGAACAAGTAACCCCTAAGCCAGAAGCAGTCTGAATGTTGCCAGGAATGACCCCACCTCCCGAAAGAAAAACAAACAAACCACTCTAAAAATAATATCTTTTTTTTTAACATCTTTCTGTTTGCTTATGCTTGTTTGTGCTTTGAGCCACATTAGCAGTGCTCAAGGTTAAGCATTATTCAAAGCTCTGCTTCAGGCATCACTCCTGGTGGTACTCAAGGACTATATGCAGTCCAGGGGCTTGAATCCGACTTTGCAGCATACAATGCAAGTGTCCTCCTCATGCTGTGATCTCTCCGACCCTTCCACATCATTTCTTCATGGAATTCTCAGCAAAGATTCACATAAGAGCAAAATTGAGAAGTTAGGAAATGAACATTTATTACCAAAAATATACAATTCTTTCATTTTTAAAAATAAAATTATTTTCAATGGTAGTTAAATCTATATAAATGCTTATATTTAAGAAATTATAAGTTAATATTTATATACGTTTCAGAATAATAATCCCAATATGATTACTAAGCTACTGATTTTGAGAACGGTTAAAATTGTTTGTCAGGGTGCAAATCCTTTGGTAAAATCAAATGACTGTGTTTTTAAAATCATTTCAAACTTTTTCTGGGTGATTAAGACACTAACTTGATACTTTACAAGCTTCATTTGTTTACTTTGCTTTATACTTTAACTACTACTTAATTTTATTTATTATATATATGTGTGTGAGTATAAAATTTTTGGCAATACTTTTTTTTAAATCAGTTTGTCAAAAGCCTTAAGATATGCTTTTTTACCAAATTAAAAAAGAGGTTTTGGAAACTAGAGATTTTTCTCTGAAAGACCACACACTCCTTATGAAACTTTTTCACGCTCAGTTTGTAGATGACGCTTAGAAAACCAAATGTGTTTGAGCAGGAAAGTTGCTCAGGAAATTGTAACTCCAAAACACTTCAGTGACATGTTCATATTCATGTCATCTATCCTTTGACAAGAGTAAACTGAAGTAAGACAATACACTTAAGTGATTGACAATTTAAATTGTAAACTTAATTTGTAAAACTTCGAATGAGGTTTCACTTAACCACTTTATTTTTCTCTTCTCTTGATGCTAATGATGATAAAGTGATTCATTTCTTTGTATTTCCCCCTTTTCTCTAGTGATTCAAAAATAAAAAATAATCTTACAAATAAAATGACTTGAAACATAAAATGTTCTTGCAGATTTTTATTCCTACATCCTATTCCATTCAGCTTACACTAATTATATTTTACTTTTCAGTATTTATTGATTGATTTATTTTTTGCATTGAACCAAGGCAATAAGTCAAGGCTTCTGTGCATGCTCTTCCCCCGAACCACACCCCCAGTCCTTAAAATTGCTGGAATGGAAACAAGAAACTTCAGGGGATCAGGCTCCTGCCTTGTTCTTCCAAGCACAACCTTGCAGGCTTCGAGCTATCCCAGCATGGCCAGATGGCACCGTAGGGTCTGAACAACACGGCCTTCGCGGCCTTCACATGGAACCCAGGCCTGGTGACCAAGAATCCTCCCGGCCCCCGGAAGACCACTTAGAGTCTCTCCCTTGAAATTGCTTGAATCACATTCACAAGTTAAGTCACCAACATTTTTGTTTTTAATTTTTAATCATGAATTTTATTCTATTTTATTTTTTATTGAAGCAATATGAGATACATAGTTACAAAGTTGTTCATGATTTGGTTTCAGTCATATAATATTCCAATACCATCCCTTCACCAGTATACATTTCCCACCACCAATGGTTCCCAGAATCCCTTCCCCACCACTGCCTGTCTCTGTAGCAGGAACTTCTCTCTCTCTCTCTCACTCACTCTCTCTCTCTTTCTCTCTCTCTCTCTCTCTCCTCCTGTGTCCCCAGCCCCCTGTCCCTTTCTGGGCATTATGATTTGCAGTGCAGGTACTGAAAGGTTATTATGTCTGTCCCTTTACCTCCTTTCAGCATTCGGTTCTTGTCTAGAGTGATCATTTCTGTCATTGTCACAGTGGTAGTGACCACTGTCCTAACTGACCCCACCTTTCACCACTTCTTGTGGCAACTTTTCAACCACGGATAGTACTTCTGACCCTTGTTTCTACTGTCCTAGAGTCTAGCTTCATACTACATTCTTTTATATCCCACAAATGAGTGCAATCGTTCTATGTCTATATAATAATATAAATTTAATTGTCGTATGCTTAATGACATTTACATGTTAAAAATTCTAAGCAGTTACATATTTCAAGGTCATAGCTCTATAGTGAGATACTTCCAGAGATATCGAATGCCTAAAAACTCAGCTTCTGTTCCCATCCACGTTGTTCTCTCCCCATAGGAAATCATTACAAACACATGTGTATCTGAATCCTCTATTAAATTAAATCCTCTATTAAATGAATGCATCACACTTTATTCCACTTGTCTCCCTATTAATAGATGTAGAATTTTCCATTTTTTATTATGAATGGATATTTATAAAAATTTGAACAATGCTTCAATGAAAAATCTTGCACGTCACTGAGATTCTTTCCTAAAATAAGACTTGATGAATAATTATGTCAATGGCTATGTATTCTGCTATTTTTTCCAAATATCCTTCCATAGGAGAACATTATTTCCATCATTTTCAGTGTTTACTTTTTTATCATTTTTGGTCATTCCAATTAACATTTTAACAAAATTCACACTCTTGTCACAAATGGCAAAAAATAAAACAAGCAAAACAAATTTCACTGACAGACTAAGTAATTGCTTTCTAATTTCTTGATTCAGGGACATATATCTGTATGACACTTTGACTTATACCCAGGAACATGGGTGTATTTCCACTGTTTCAAATGTGCAGTCATGTGACTTAGTTGTCTATTTCTTTGTTAGTTTAGTTCTCACACTGGTAAGGAGCAAAATTACTATGCAGTTGCAAAGCAAAAGTAGAAACATATTTTGTTTCTCTTCTTATTTTGTGATTGAGGAGAATTACAATTCAGGTGCACAATCTAGGAACATCCAGGGAGTATTTGAAGAAATTTATGCTAGAATTTTTTGTTTGCTTGTTTTGGGGGCACATATGGCTGTGTTCAGGGCGTACTCCTCATCTTGTGCTCACGGATCACTGTGGACTTAGGTATAACATATGGGATGTGGGGGGTCGAACCTGGACACAGGAAAGCAATAGCCCTCCCCACTGTACTATCACTCTGGTCCCTAAACTAGGATTTTTTTTGTCTGTTAGTTTGACTTGATTTTGTTGCCATATCCAGTGGTGCTCAATAGCTAGTTTGATCCCAGTACTCAGTGGCCACTTCTGTTGGTGTTCAAGGGATTTTGAGGAGCCAGAGGTTGAACCGGGCATCTTGCATGGAAAATGTTCACTCCAGCTGCTGAACACTGTCTTCCCAGACCTTTACTGAAATCCAGATGTTAACATTTAAGAATGCAAGCATACATTCCGTATGTTTGCTTACAGTTTTTGTTATTGTGAAGTTCAGAATCCATTCAGCTCACTGGGTTACCAAGAAACCACTTAAATTTAGCAAATCTTAATGTTCAACAATTTTAGTTTCCATTAAAATTTTGTTGTTGTTGTTTGGTTCACAACCAGCTGTACTCAAAGATCACCCCTAACTGTGCTTGGGGAATTTATGCTGTGCATTAGTCTCTGCCTCTATAGTTAAGTTTTAGTTTTCATTTGTGAACCCAGTGAAAAGAAGTCTTCGTCAGAGCACTGTCAGAAAAATACAGAAGGTGGGTAAGGTGGGTAAGTCTCAGCTCACAACACAGTTTCAGTGTTGGTGTTATATTAGTTTAGGGCATTTCTTGCTACATTTATTTCTAGACTTCTGTTCTTAATTTTGTTGACTATAAGTGATCCTTTTTCTTCACTTATATTGTTACAGGTTCTTAAACAAATTGTTGTATTATTTCAAGGAAAGAATTATTTTTCCCCAATACATTCTTTCTGACCCTTGCTACTTTAGAATAAATCCAATGTGCTCATAACATATTTTGATTACTGGCAATACATTAAAAAATTAATGACTATGAATTTTTAAATTTTTTTTTGGTGTCTAAAGACATGTTTTAATCTTTCTAAATTAAACTATACCACTTCTTTGCAGAAGAAAAAAATAAATAGAGAAGCTATTTCCATAGTTTTGAGGAATATCTAAATTCATATAGTGAGTCATTTAATGGTGATTATGCAAAATAATTGAGCAAAAATATTGAATTTAAGCATTCAAAGCTTTTCTAATTTTTTATTAATAATTATTTATATTATATTGCTTGTTTTGATAGTAGTAGATCTTTAAATTACATTTATTACTACAGTTTATTTTCAAAATTTATTTCTTATTAACATGACAGGAGTCTAAAATCATCTGAGAAATGAGGAATTACATTAATTAAAATCTAATAATCTCATGATGCTTATTTTATCATTCTTATTCTTGTTTTCAGCTTGCAGTATGTCAATGCAATGATAATTTAAAAACTGTCTACTATTTCTCCAAAATACTGTCTATGTATACCTTTTCATCCTCTTTCTTAAGAGGTTTGGCAATTTCTAATACATTCATCTATTTAGTATAAATTGGTTGGCCGATAACTCAGTTTCTACCCAGTCTATGTTACCTTTAATAAGACTGAGAAGTAGCATGTATGCTTGAAGCACTGGGCAAGTCTTCCAAATCTCACCTTGAGTACATCTTTTGGATGATCATTAACGATCACTGCTACACTTGGAAGAGTAGTAGTATGCAATTCAAGACAGCAGTCACTGTTAAAAAGGAACAAACATGATCACTTCTCAGTATCTATATTGCAAACCATAATGCCCAAAAGGAGAGAAAAAGAGAGAAACAGAGACAGAGAGAGACAGACAGACAGACAGACAGACAGACAGACAGAGACAGGAAAGACAGAGGAGGGGGAAAGAGAAGAAAAGTGCGTGCCATAGAGAGGTGACGGGTGGTGGGAGGGAAACTGGGAACATTGGTGTTGGGAAATGTAGATTGGAGGGAAACTGGGAACATTGGTGTTGGGAAATGCAGATTGGGGGATGAGTGCTGGAAAATTGTATGCCTGAAAACTGATTATGAACAGCTTTGTAACAGTGTATCTCATGGTGAATCAATCAAAAAAGGAATATGAAATAGCTAGTATTGAACTTTAAAAAAGAGTTTAGCATTTAATGAGAAGCTGAAACATAAGTATTGCATGGTTTAGAAAAGATATTAGGATATATTAGATTAAAATAACAGGTACTAGGAATCCTAGCTCTAATTCATATTGCATTTTTAGTAAATAAATAACGTGCCAAAATTATATTACGGGAAATGATTAATTAGAACAAACTACCATAAATTTATATTCATCTGTAAGAACAGATGCACAGTATGTGTATATGGGATATATGTGTATCTGGGGAATTATTAGGAATATATTAAAGTTATAGATATTCACTGATTACTAGTATCAAATATTAAGAATTTCTTAGGATCATTATTGCATGTATCATAGCTTCTGACCAGTAGAGTAGTATACCATCAAAGAAAATAAGTATCCATTTACCTACACTTTATATTTTTGATTGACAAACACCTTGGGAAATAAAAATCATATTATATATGTATGATCATATTATTGTACTCACTGCCAATTCTTGAAAATGTACATTTCTTCTAATTTATATGTTCAATCTCTCAGATTCTTCTGCAATATTGCACTGGTATAAAATATTACTGGGAATATCTGGAACAGTAAATGGCATTCTGGTTTTGATTTTGATCTCCCTGATCTTATTGGGTAAGTTAGTAGATCTTAAAAATATTTTAAATAATCAATATTTTCTCATAATTATTTTAAAATTCATTAGTATCCCAGTAATGTCTCCATTGTAAGAAATGTTGTTACTGTTTTTGGCATATTGGATACATCACGGGTAGCTTGCCAGTATCCACTGTATTGAAAATGTTTGGTTAGGAGCACATTACTATGTGTAAAGTCATATACTCCACAGTTAATATGGAGTCAAATCATTTAAGCATTTTGAGAAGTAGTAGAAAGGGTAAAAATGAGAATATGTGTGTGGGTATCTGGAAATCTACCTTTGGGAATTTTAGATACTGATGATAATGTTTTGTTTATTCTTGCAGTTGTCTAACAAGTATTTAGTAGTCTAGCCAAGGGCTAGAGAGATAGTACAGAGGTTAAGGTGCATGCCTTGCATGTGGCCAATCTGATTTGTTTCTGGGACACCCAAGTTCTCTCTAGCATTATTGAGTGTAGCCATCACAGGGAGACCAAAAGCACCATGGAGTGCAGACTTGGAGGGTCTTAAACACTGGTGGTCCAGGTAATCCCTGACACCACAAGGTCATAGCAACATCGCATTTTGAGTCCTCACTTTGAACCTGTGTCAGGTTGGTCCCGTGAAGAGCTGACTAAACCTCTGAGAATGACTTAGGAGACCCCCACCCCGCAAAAAAACATTTACTAGGCAATTGCTATGTCCTCATATTGCTAAAAGTTACTCAATAAAAAGTGAAATAGTTATGGTGCGAATTCTTCTATGCTGGCAGAAAAAGAAACAATAAAAATAATGATGGTAGAATAGGTTTATCATATTCTATTATAAGCTTGGGCTGGAGTGATAGCACAGCGGATGGAGCGTTTGCTTTGCAAGTGGCCAACCCAGGTTTGATTCCTCCGCTCTTCTTGGGTTGCCCAGCAAGCTACCGAAAGTATCTCATCCGCACGGCAAAGCCTGGCGGCGGGGCAAGCTACCCGTGACGGATTCGATATGCCAAATACAGTAACAAGTGTCGCAATGGAGACGTTACTGGGCCCTCTTGAGCAAATCAATGAGCAACGGGAGGACAGGGACTGGGACAATGACTATAAGCATTGTAAGTTTTAGCAAAGCATTGAGAAAACAATGCAAAGCCTTTTATGTGTTACAGCAGAAACTTTGCTTTATTTCTAGCCATATCAACAATCTTTAAGCAATGCAGCATAGTACAATATAACTTCTCAACAAATATGTGTCCTAGACATGAACGAATTGTGAAATATTTCTAATTACTTTTCATCTACGTAGGCAGAAAAAAACAATGTTCTACTTCCCATTTCAGTTTTTTTCTTGTTCCAGTCATAATTATCTGCGCAAAACATTTGTCTCAGATATTGCACAAAGAGGTTTAGCCAAACTGAAAGTAATCCTGTTTTTAAGTTTCTCAAGGAGTATTGCTAAATTGTCAAAAAGATCAAAAGTCAAATGTTACCCAGCATGAGGAAATCGAAAACCTGAGAACAGATAATGACACAAGAGGCAATAGAAAGCACCAGAACTCAGGTCCCTGCGTTCCAGGAGCTACAGAACATACAGGTATTTCTTATGACTTTAGATTATACTATCTTTAATCTTTTGGACCTCAGTTAGAATGAGTGAATGAGCGAATTATCCATTGCAATTTTAATTTTAGTATCCCAACTGCACAGCAGAGTCTGGCAAGCTACCCGTGGCATATTCGATATGCCCAAAACAGTAACAATGATGAGTCTCATTCCCTGACCCTGAAAGAGCCCCCAATATGGCATCATTAGGAAAGATGAGTAAGGAGAGGCTGCTAAAATCTCAGGGCTGGGACAAATGGAGATGTTACTGGTGCCCGCTTGAGTAAATTGATGAAAAATGGGATGACATTGATACAGTGATACAGTGAATTTTAAGCTTTGAAATTATAATCTTTCAGAATGTTGGATGTTTGCTCTACCTTAATTTTTTCCTTGGTCTACGTTTTAACACTCTTGAAATTTCCACATTTACAGAAATTGATTCTATGATAAAGGTGCATACCAATTACCTTATTATTTATCAGAGAATTTTACTATAATCCACAAGTACTTAAAATTTCCTTTGTCACATAAAATGTTACATATTTTATGGCCTGTATACTTACACTGTTTTCCTTTGCAAAAGTTACACAAGTTGAAATTGCACTGTCATGTTACCATGTACTTTGCATACAGACTAGTTCTCAGTGTTATAATGAGAACTTTTCAAAGTAAAAAATCTTGGTAGACAAACATAAAATCATAGATATGCCATTACATAGTTTTGAAATTCAGTGTGAATACTTTATATAAACCTACAAATTATTTTTGTTTATCTGTCTACTTTTTTTGTATTGAAATCATACTATTCACAAGCTTAACTTAATCTTTTCAAATTAAATTCACAACTTACTTCCAAATAGAAGACCACAACGTCAATAAATTTGGAATTCCTTACTCAATAAGAAATTATTTATGATTCTCCATCAGCCATTCCCTAAAACTATATGTCTCTAGTTGTTCTGGATTTTTATGTAATGCAATCCGGCTTTTTCTCTCATATTTCTTTTTCATAACATAACATTTTCAAATTTTATCAAGAGGTGCCACATGTCAATACTCTATTTCCTATTATTATTAAATAGTGTTCCTTTGTGATATATATCACAACTTGTTGGTAACACTGACCAAGTAATATACAGACTCAAAAAAAAATTTTAAGTTAAATGACCTTTTGTACAGAAATAATAGAGTGATCCTAAAAATTAAGTGAGATTGTAAGTGACCCTGTAAAACAAAACAAAAAAAGTTGAAAACAAAAACAAATTTGGAAAATTCACATTTAACAATGTCAAAATAGTGTACAAGCACAAGCACAAGCATCCTGTTGTTCGTTGATTCCCTCGAGCAGGCACCAGTAACGTCTCCTTCATCCTAGCCCTGAGATTTTAAAAGAGCAATTTCAATGCTCTTTCAGGATTAGGAGAATGAGACCCATCATTGTTACTGGTATTTGGCATATTGAATACAACACGGAAGTTTGCCAGACTCTACCATGTGGGCAGGATGCTTTTGGTAGCCTGCCAGGTTCTCCAAAGGAAAAAGAAAAAAGATAATAAGATGTCGCGAGGCTGCGAATGCTTTCAGGAGCTGGATTTTATAGTCTCTGCGTCTTGGCCGTTGGTGGGATCAACCTGACGCTGGCAGCAGCTGGTGGGTATGACGCCTACCTACTGGAAGATGGGGGTCTGGTTGGAGAAGGCCCAGTCCCAATCCGAGTAGGCTTGGAGACCTCAGCCCCGGGACCCGCATGCCTGGGTTCCTCTGCCAGTTCTTTCATGCATGAGGCCCGTCCAGATGTGTGGAGAGTGGTTCCAGCATGGCCGTGGCTGGCTCCGGAGGTCCTCAGCTGCTGGGGCTCTGCTCGGGGCGAGGAGGGGGGAGAGAAACTCAACCCTCCCCCCTCCAAGGGGCTCCGGTGAGGACAGCCAGGAGCGGGGGCAGGAGACCCTGCACTGTTTTCCTCTGGGAGCTGGATTTTATAGTCTCTGCGTCTTGGCCGTTGATGGGATCAACCTGGCACTGGCAGCAGCTGGTATAATAATGAAAATAGAGTAATACAGCATTAAAATGGCCAAAACATGGAATAGAATTGGGGATGGAGAATTAAACCCATACTCCCAGTTATTTAATTTTTTTTTCGTAATTTGAAAAAAAAATTTCCAAAACAGAGCTCAGGAGACCCTGTCTAACTTCTAGATGATTTTCATCCAACAGGTTCGGCAGCTCAATGAAAATGTCTGAGGGATGCAGGGCTGCTGGGTATTTACGTTGATCAATCACCTATGTGTGGTGCTTTGTGGGCTGCACCTGGAAAAATGTTCTGGTGACCATGTAGTACCAGAGAATGAAGCCCTGTGGTATCACAGCTGGGTCCACGAAAGACAAGCACCTTAACCTCTTTATTGTTTCCTTCCTGCCAATTGAGATTTGACAAGTGCCAAAATAGAAAAATAGTTTTAAATTATTTAAAATTTAAAAGAACTCTTTTAAACAACTGGAGCTGTGTCAACTGTATTCAACAAAATATGAATTTCTCTCCAGATAGAAAAATAAATCCCAAAGGGATCAAGGTATTAAAAAATAAGTTCTAAAGTATAAAATTATTACAATAAAAAACACATAATTTATATCACTGTAGCACTGTCCTCCCATTGTTCATCGATTTGCTCCAGCTGGCCCAGTAACGTCTCCCTCGTGAGACTTGTTGTTACTGTGTTTGGCATATTGAATACCTCATGGTTAGCTTGCCAGGCTTTGCCGTGTGGGCAAGATACTCTCAGTAGCTTGCCGGGCTTCCTGAGAAGGGCGGAGGAATCAAACCCAGGTTGGCTGGACCGGAGGCATGCAAGGCAAACGCCCTACCACTGTGCTATCGCTCCAGCAGGCACAAAATGATTTATTTTAAATTGCTTATTACAAAAAAATGGTAAGTGGAATTGTCAAAAAATAGTTCAGTTGGGGCTGGAGAGAGAGTACAGTGGGGAGGGCTCTTGCCTTGCACACTCCCTACCTGTGTTTGATTCCCGGCATCCCATATGGTCCCCTGAGCACTATCAGGAGTAATTCCTGAGTGCAGAGCCAGGAGTGACCCCTGAACATTGTTTCAGGCAATGGTTTATCAAAAGCAAAATAAAATCAGATGAAATGAGATAAAATAAAAATTAGATGAAATAAACAACATTGAAATAAAAATATATTCATCATAAACGATCAAAAATTGAAAAGAATATATAGAAAATATTTTTAAATTTTATATAAATAGATTTCTTAGTATTCAGAATATACAAAGAAATCTTTTATTTCCAAAACAATAAAGGTAAAGGTAAAGGTAAAGGCCCTCCCGTTGATCGTCGATTTGCTCGAGCGGGCCCAGTAACGTCTCCATTGGAGACTTTGTTGTTACTGTGTCTGGCATATCGAATACTCTCGGTAGCTTGCCGGGCTCTCCGAGAGGGGCGAAGGAATCGAACTCGGGTCGGCCATGTTGGCCGCTTGTAAGGCGAACGCCCTACCCGCTGTGCTATTGCTCCAGCACAATAAGACAACTCAATTTTGAAAAATATTGGGAAAAGGGCATGAATAGACACTTCTCAACAGAAATCCTATGGAAGACAAACAAGCACATGAAATGTTCTTGACATGATTAGTCATTAAGGAATTGAGAAGTCAAAATCACATTGGGACACCACTTTCCCTTTAGGGCAACCAAAACAATAGGGTTTTTTTGGGGGGGAGTGGGGGTGGGAAGTGTGGCAAATTACAAATATGTTGCTGTTCAGAATTTAAACTGTACAAGCCATTGGGAAAATGATTTGGAAATTAATCAAAAATCTTATCACTGGAAGTCAATTCTTATGTATGAGAACAGAAAACATACACCCACACAAAAACATACACAAGGATATTTATAATGAAAACATTTACAAAGTCCAGAAAGTGGAGACAGTCCAAATCAAGAATGGTCATGAAGAGTGGATTAACAAAATTTGCTACCTTCATGAGCAAAATTTTATTGTCAGAAAAAGAAATAAAATATTGACATATTCTTAATCTGGTTAAGCCTTGGAGACATTATCTAAGAAACTAAGCAGAAACTGAAAGTTACATATTATTGAAATATGTGAAATGTTAATTATAGTCAAGTGCAAAGAGATAAAAAAAAAAACTATTGCCAAGGCTGATGTTGAGAAAAATGGACAGGGTATTACTTAATGTTTATGGAATTTTATTTAGTGTGTGATAAAGTAATTTTGAAATGAGTAATTACCATTTTATAAAACATTATGAATGTTTTAAAACATTTAAAAATGTTTTAAAATAAAAATTATGTTTTAAAACTGTTTTAAAATCCATGAAGGTTACATTAAAATATTTCTACTTTGGGGGCTGGAGCGATAGCATAGCGGGTAGGGTGTTTGCCTTGCACACAGCCAACCCGGGTTCTATTCCCAGCATCCCATATGGTCCCCGAGCACCGCCAGGAGTAACTTCTGAGTGCATGAGCCAGGAGTAACCCCTGATCATTGCTGGGTGTGACCCAAAATGCAATATATATATATATATATATATATATATATATATATATTTCTGCTTTGTTTTTGGATCTGGTGGTGCTAAGTCTAAGAGTTGTTGGGTACATACTCCCTGCACAATCAGTGCTCAGGGACTCTTGCTAGTGGGACTGGGACAATGTGGTGCTTTTAATGGAACCCAGAACTCCATCCCTACAAATAGCATTTTGTTGTAGCTGTTGTTGGACCACACACCTGGCGTATTCAGGAATCACTCCTTGCTCTGTGCTCAGGGCTCAATCCTGGTGGTCCTCAGGGGACATATGTAGTACCTGGGATCTAAGAGGAACAGCTGCATGCAAGATAAATTCTTTAGTACCCTGTATTCTTTCTCTAGCTCTGCTTAACATTTTAATTAATTTATTTGTTTATTGATTGAACCCAGGGCAGCCGCGTGCAGGGCAAATGCCCTACCCCCTGTCGTATTGCTCCAGCCCCTCTGCTTAACATTTTTAATGGCAAATTTTGTAGCATGAATTTTTCTCAGTATAAGAAAGAACGGTCATAACAGCCATAAATTTTTTTTTTATTTATTTATTGAATCACTGTGGGAAAGGTTACAAAGCTTTCAGGTTTATGTCTCAGTCATGCAAATATCAAACACATTTCCCTTTACCAATACTTTTTTACCATGAAGAACCCCAATAAAACCCCACCCCCCACCCCTCCCCGTCCCTGTGAGGCAGATGAATTCTAGTTAACACTCTATCTGCTTTGATTAGATTCATTGTTTCAATAAAAGATTCACCACTATTATTTAGAGTTTACCCCCCCCCCCCAAATCAGACATGCTGAAAAAGCATTGTAAAGTGATTTGCTTTCTACGGCTGGGTTCAAGAATTAAATGTTGGTTTTGGATTTCTGCTCTTTTACCTATTGACCCTGGAAGTATTTCTACTGAAAGTCAGATAGTTAAGAAATTGGTTTCTGTGTTCTGGAGTCCTGGCCGTGCTGGAGAGCCGCTCGCGGGGGGCAACCGGTGGCCTCGGTAGGGCGTGAAGGGCGGAGCGAAACGCCCCCCTTCCCATGAGGTTTTAGTCGCCCCCACACTCCCGGCTCATACCTGCTGTCCACAAGGCTCCCATGTGGCCGCCATCTTTCTTTCCAGAGGGAGGAGGGCGGAAGGGAGCAACACCCTTTCCCCGCTGGCAGAAATGATTGCCTGGATTAACGCATAGTCCTTTCACTTTTCTGCTCCAAGCTGCTGGGTTCTGCATTAGGTCATTGTGCTTCTGGGGCTGTGGCCGTGCTGGAGAGCCGCTCGTGGGGGCAACTGGTGACCTCGGTAGGGCGTGAAGGACGGACCGGAACGCCCCCCTTCCCATGAGGTTTTAGTCGCCCCCACACTCCCGGCTCATACCTGCTGTCCACAAGGCTCCCATGTGGCCGCCATCTTTCTTTCCAGAGAGGAGAGGGCGAATGGGGCAACACCCTTTCCCCTCCGGCAGACTTGATGGCCTGGATCAATGCATAGTCCGTTCACTTTTCTGCTCCAAGCTGCTGGGTTCTGCATTAAGTCCTTGTGCTTCTGGGGCCGTGGCCGTGCTGGAGAGTCGCTCGTGAGGGGTGACTGGTGACCTCGGTAGGGCGTGAAGGATGGACTGGAACGCCCCCCTTCCCATGAGGTTTTAGTCGCCCCCACACCCCCGACAGCCATAAATTTGAATAGTTACATTGACCAGCACTTGTCTTCGTACATACTTGTCACTTTCCTCTGTTGTTGTCATTGTTAGGACAACAGTCAGAGATATTTTCAACAGTGAAGATATTTTCATTATCCTTCATAGTTAGAACAATAGAGATTTTCAGTTTAATTTTATTTTAGAAAATCAATTGACTTGAAATTGCAATTATAGAGAGATGGGGAATGAATTATTAATCTCAATATTATATAATACAAAATAGAAATATTAAAGGGAGGTTTATTGCAGGGGGTCCCCACCAGACCACTCTCCAGCCCACAGAGATGGCCCTAGGATCTGTAGGTGCAGGGAGGGACCAACCGAATGAACATAAGACACAAGAGACATAATGCAGAGAAAACAGGACAGAGCAGACAGGACAGCAGACAGGATAGGACAGGACAGGACAGGACAGGACTTTATTCAGGGCAGCAGGGGTATTATATATTTTGCGACGCAGGAAACTATGCTTACATCACAGAAGGCTATTACATCACTAGGTCATATCATATATGGTTAGGAGAGTTACAAAAACTACATGTTTCACATGCTTGATTAGTCAGTGTCAGTTACTTCTTATTCTTGGGCTAGCTGTGACAAATGTTTTCTTTTAGATAACCATACATAGCTCAGGATATGCATAGGCTGCGGTCAGAGCAGACATCGTACCAGATTTGCACTAGTCAGGACCCGCTTGTTCAGGATCACGTAAGCCAAGATAACCATACATAGTACAGGCACATAGGCCCTTCATCAGTTAAAGGGCCAGCTTCCCACAGTTTATGTACAAAACACAACAAATTTCTAAAATTTTATAAGGAAAAATTATAAACAAATTGTAAAGATAATATTAAATCTACTGTCTCAATTATCTTTAAACTGGTATCTGTCCTAGTTGGTCTATTTCAATGACTATATTAAATCTTGATAAGAAAAAAACAATCCCAAAATTCCTTTCTTTGGATTTTTCTTACTAATTTTTTTATTTACTATGAACTCTCATTTCATGTAGGACCTTTTGTGAGTCTAAAGGCTTTGTTATGGGTAATTTTTTCATAACTCATCTTACTCATGGTAGACAATTATTGCTTTCAATTAGCAAAGATGTAATTTAATTTTAATTTGCCCCTCATTTTTGTCCATAGAATTTTGCCCATCAGAATGGTTCAAATTTGAAAATAAATGCTATTGGTTCTCTGATGCTATGAAAACTTGGAGTGACAGTTACAGGTATTGCCTGGGAAGAAACTCTCATCTACTAATGGTACAGGACCAACTTGAAATGGTAAGTGGTTTAGTTTGTGGCTGTGACATTGTATTCTTCACAGTTAATAATGGTTATCCTTTAAACTCGCAATCTTCCTTTAAATTATAATTTATTTGGATTACAGATTTTTTAGCACATGTTGAATTTTGTGTTTGAAATTAGTGCTTCACTTGACTCATGCTAATATTGTTTTGAATATTGTATTTACTGTTTTTGGCATATCAAATACTCCATGGATAGCTTGTCAGGCTCTGTCATGTGGGTGGGATACTCTCAATAGCTTGCCGAGATCTCCGAGAGGGATATAGGCTTTTAGGGTGGCCTCTAATCACCCTTGGAGGTGTTCCCATGGTTCAAACCATATTTGAACCCCATCAAATATGGTGCGGTAATGATGAAAAATGGGTATAAGTTTCTTATGATGTGTCGCACAACTGCTTTGCCTGGAGTATGGCAGCGGCTGGGTAGTGGAGGCAGTGGAGGTTGGCTGATGAGGTATTTATCTGGCTCAGGCCGGGTGGGTCTTCTGGGTGTGATCCCTGGATCGCTAGAGATTGGTGGGAGCAGGCAGAGGAACTTTGTTTCCAGGTCCCATTGAGTCTGAAGTCCAAGATCACAAAGTTCCGCTTTACCTGATTCTGTGGGGCTTCACTCATGCACAAGGCTCGGCCAGAGCGGTCCAAAAAGCAGCCTGGAACTTGGCAGCGGCTGGGTAGTGGAAGATAAAGAACCTCTGGCTCTGGGCACATCTCTTCAACTCCACCATTCTCCCTGCACTAACATATGCCCCAGAGACCTGGGCCCTACGAAAACAGGATGAGAACGCTATTCAGGGTCTCCCAAAGAGGAATCGAAAGAGCTATGCTTGGAGTATCATGCTTCACTCAAGTGAGAGAAGGAATGCGGTGTTCTAACCTCTGTTGACGATAGAGAATCAGGGATGCTGTCTCGTTTACCAAGGCATCAAAAATCAGATAGTGGGGTATGGTGCCGCCAGCATGTCAATCTGTACTTATGAGGCGAGTGCATCAGCAGCCTGATGGTGCTGTCAGGCTTCCAGATACCCCAAAATTGCTGCTGTACTTTTGGCCGGACCCCAAGAACTTGGGCAAAATTTACCAAGAAAGTAAATAGTCAACAGTTTGGTACGTGGGAGACACACCCACAAGCCACCTCCAACTCAGCTATATAATTGGAGGCTTGGCCTCTCTGCTTCCTGATTGAACTGCTTAACAGCCATGATCCCAGAGACTCAGAAACAAATCTCAAAGCCGAGCGGCTTTTGGCAGAAATGCGTTCAGTCCCTGCAGTAAGTTACAGGCACTGGGCCAGCCCAGGTGGGAATAGGTTTTGTGCCTTGGCCCATCCCCCCGGGGCGGCATGGTGACTACCATCCCCCAAAGGTCACTGGACAGTCAGGTTTGGGCCCACAATTATGAGACACACGGGGCTTCATGGGTTGGGGGGTTGAACCATCCCTTTTCTCCCCATCCCAAAAAGACTCCGAGTTGCCACCCACAAACGGCTTCTCTGGCTCCTCATCAATCTGCTTAACGGACATGATCCCAGAGACTCAGAAGTAAATCTCAAAGCTGAGTGATTTTTGGCAGAAATGCGTCCGGACACACAGTAGATTACTGTCACCAGGCCACCCCAGGGGTGAAAGGGTTCTGTCCCTCCACCTGCTTCTCCTTGGCGGTTCAGTGGCTGCCATCCTCCAGGGATCATTGAACAGTCAGGTTTGGGTCCACAGTGATGAGACACGCGGGCCCTCACAAGATGCATGTGGAGATGGCCCTTTCCTCCCCTCCCCAGTGAGACCCTGAGTCACCACCAACAAACAGCCACTCTGGCTCCTGATCAAGCCGTTTAATGGCCATGATCCCAGAGACTCAGAAACAAATCTCAGAATCCAGCAGTTTTCGGCAGAAATGCATCCAGTCCCTGCAGTAGGTTACTGCACTGGGTCACCCCAGGTGGGAATAAGTTTCATGCCTTGGCCTGTTCCCCCTGCCAGCCCAGTGGCTGCCATCCTCTAGAGGCCACTGGATAGTCAGGTTTGGGCCTGAAGTGATGAGACACGCAGGGCCTTATGGGATGGGGGTGGTGCCGACCCTTTCCTTCCCGTCCCAACAAGACCCCAAGTTGTCATTGTCACCCATGAACAGCCTCTCTGGCTCCTCATCAAGCTGCTTAACAGCCATGATCCCAGAGACTCAGGAACAAATCTTGGAACCCAGCAGGTTTTGGCAGAAATCACTCCAGATTTCATTGTTAAAGTTTCTGAATATCAAAATCGTGCAGCCAATACTGAGCCATACGACATCATATGTTATTCATAACCAGCAATGGAAAACAAATTGTCTGCTGTTGCCTTTTCAATAGATCTGAGTGTTGGGTAAAATCCCAAATAATAATGGTGGGTCTGGTGTCAGGATATTGAATGTAATCAAAGTAGAGAGAGAGTAATGTGGAAATCATCTGCCCCACAGGCAGGGGGAGGGTTTGGGTTGGGGGTATGCTGGGGTATACTGGGGTTTTGGGGGGTGGAGAATGGGCACTGGTGAAGGTATGGGTGTTTCATTGTATGACCGAGACTTAAACCCTAAAGCTTGGTAACTGCTCTCACACTGATTCAATAAATGAAATTATAAAAAGGTAAAGGCCCTCCCGTTGATCGTCGATTTGCTCGAGCGGGCCCAGTAACGTCTCCATTGGAGACTTTGTTGTTACTGTGTCTGGCATATCGAATACTCTTGGTAGCTTGCCGGGCTCTCCGAGGGGGGCGGAGGAATCGAACTCGGGTCGGCCATGTTGGCCGCGTGTAAGGCGAACGCCCTACCCGCTGTGCTATCGCTCCAGCCCAAATGAAATTATAAAAAATCAAAAAAAAAGTAAGGTGGAATTTATGCCCAATTCAATCAGCTAATCAGTGGCTGAATAAATAGCAGTACTACTACATTAAAAAAAATCATATGGACTGGACACGTAATGTGATTTGGAGACAACCGCTGTACTAGAGCCATTACTGACTGAATTCCATGGGACGTCAAAAGATTGTCTGGCTGTCCACCTATGAGATGGTCAGACTTCTTCTTCAAGACCCTGAATGAATTTTTTGAGGCTCTTCATGTTCCTGGAGCGAGCAGATGCCATTGGACTACCCTAGCACGTGACAGGAACGAATGGAAATGTTACTGGCGCCCGCTGGAGCAAATCAATGAGTAACGGGATGTCAAGTGATCAAGTGACTGTATTCAGTTTTCAAATAATGATGTGTGCATTTTATGAACAATATATAAAATATTGTATGACGTTTATAAATCAGAGGTGAATTTATTAGCTAGCACATTGAATCTTCATATAAGGCTGAGAAGATAGCACAAAGGGCTTTAATGCTTTGATACCCCACACTGAATGTTCCCCCAAGAAATGCAGGATTTACATTCCTTAATCTTGCACATGGACACTCTTGATTCAATCCCTGGAACTGCCTATTCCTCGGTGCCCCAAGAAGGAATGAAGCCTGAGCACTGAGCAAAGAGCAAGCCCTGGCCAGGTGTGGTTTGCTCCCCAAATAGTCCTCATGTAAGAGTTTTTGTTGCCCCTCCCCCCTGAAAAAAAAACAACAACAAAAAAAGCGACTTCTTTCTTCAGTGAAGCAAGATAGTTTCTACTGAACAAAATATACTTACTCAGGGGAAGGGGGATGGGGAAGTGGTGAGAAAGAGAGAGAGAGAGAGAGAGAGAGAGAGAGAATGCTGGTTAAGGAAAAGTGCGGGCTTGATAGAGCAAGCAAAAACTGTCATGTTATGTCTGAAATATTAAAAACATTCTGCTCTTTTAATTACTTATCATTCATTTCTTCTTAGGAATTTATACAGAAATACCTAAAACAATCAAATTACGTGTGGATTGGACTTAACTTCACCTCCCCAAAGAAAAAATGGACCTGGGTAGATGGTTCTCTATTAGATTCCAAGCTGTAAGCCTTTCCATAGTGAAAAGATAATTTAATTTTTGTGATAGAAATGATCTTCATACATAAAAACCATCTGCATTCACCACATCAACTCTGAAATCACTATATATTTTTTAAAATGTGAAAATTATGTTCAAAACATGTGAAAATTAATGTTCAATTGAGAAATGATAGATATTGTGACTTATTTTTCAAGAAAAAGAATTTAAAACAACAACCATTGTTTGTAAGCTATTATTTAAATTTTATATTCAAGGCCATAGAGATAGTACAATATGTAAGGTACTTGCCTTTCTTGTGACTAACCCAGGTTGGACAAATGGTTCCCTGAGTAACAACCATCAGTAGTGATACCTGAGTACAGATTTCAGTGTTAGCCCTGAACATAATTGGGAATGGCCCTGAAACAAAAACAAAATGATAAAACTTGCAACAATCAAAGAAAAAAATTAAAGTTTATTTGAGAAGGTGAATTAAACTAATGTGATTTTATATGTTTAAATTTCTCAATTTTTATCTAATAAGTTTTAAAAAATATATGAACTTTTGCATTGTATTACTATCACAAGTAAAAGACAAATGCATCCTAATGAGCATAAGAACAGTGGTAGAGGGTCTTTGCTTTTTGTGGTGGTGGTGATACAGAATTTGGTATACCAAAAACATAGATGTAAACACTTTTGTATCCAAGTACAATTAAAAAATAAAATCAGATAAAATAATTCAAAGTGATCTCAGCAGCTGAATGGTTGCCAGAAATAATTGCCAGGGATATGCTAAAGAGTTTTTAAATAGAAAATTGAAATGTGAAGCATGTATATTTCTAATATAAAAATTCAGTCCTTCCTTCCTCCCTCCCTTCCTTCCTTCCTTCCTTCCTAGGATGTGGAAGGTTTTAAGATTATGTGCATCTTTCCCTTGTTTCTTTCTTGGACTTTCCCCACAGTCCAGATGAGTTCTTATCAAGGTCAGAGAGATAGCATGGGTTTTCTGCACTTCCCTTCAATATAGTCAACCTTATTTTGGTTCCTGACACTGCATATGGCCTCCGGGCACTGCCAGGAGCAACTCCAGAACATAAAACCTGAATGTAGACCCCCCCCCAACTTCAGAAAAAATAGATAAAATGCTTTAAAGTTATGAACATACTGAACTAGAGAGACGGTACAGGGATCAGGGCCCTTACGTTGCATGTGACAGTCCCAGTTCGACTCCCAGCACTGCCAAGCACCAAACAAAAGAAATAAGTTCTCAGTAAGATAAGTCATAGGGCTGGAGCTATAGCACAGCGAGTAGACAGTTTGCCTTGCACACGGCCTACAAGGGTTCAATTCCCAGCATCCCATATGGTCCCCCAAGCACCAGCAGGAGTAATTTCCGAGTGCCTGAGTCAGGAGTAACCCCTGTGCATCGCCGGGTGTGACCCAATAAGCAAACAAAAAAAGATAAATCACTACTAATACAATATTTTCCATATAAATTTATTTATATTTACCATATTGACAGATAGATAATACAATTGATAATATAATTTAAGACTTAGTGGTTCAAAAATCTATTAGTCTAACTTCAATGACACTGTCATGGGACAATGTTTACTGTCATTGTACAATTAGAGATAAGAAGATAGGAAAGGTTAAGTGAACTATGCAAATTAAAAAAAATTAACACCTGGGGCTGGAGCGATAGCACAGTGGATAGGGCATTTGCCTTGAGCACAGCGGGTAGGGCATTTGCCTTGCACACAGCCAATCCGGGTTCAATTCCTAACATCTCATATGGTCCCCTGAGCACTGCCAGGAGTGATTCCTGAGTGCAAAGCCAGGAATAACTCCTGTGCATTGCCGGGTGTGATCCCCCCCCCTCCAAAAAAGAGTTCAATTAAAGATTTACTTAAAAAAATTAACACCTAAATTTGATTCTAATTTATATTCACATTTCCCTTAAGTCTACTTAACATTGGTGTTATTATAGAACTATTTTAATTCTAAATTTCATTTAATAATATTGAAAATAGAGGCTTAGAAAGTTAGCTTTGTTTCAAAGATAATATTAAGAACGATAAATTACTATTTGATTCTGACTCTCAGTATTGCAAGTAATAGTAATAAGCAAAGTTTTAAATCTAATGAAACAAATGAAAGCCATAGGCACACCTTTACACTCAGTACTGTCATTTGTAAACATATTCTTCTGAAAATAAAGGTAAAGGTAAAGGTAAAGGTAAAGGCCCTCCCGTTGATCGTCGATTTGCTCGAGCGGGCCCAGTAACGTCTCCATTGGAGACTTTGTTGTTACTGTGTTTGGCATATCAAATACTCTCGGTAGCTTGCCGGGCTCTCCGATAGGGGCGGAGGAACCTAACTCGGGTCGGCCATGTTGACCGCTTGTATGGTGTAAGGCGAACGCCCTACCGCTGTGCTATCGCTCCAGCCCACTTCTGAAAATAGAGGAAAAAATATAAAGTTACAAACATATTTTTTGTCAGAATTATTGAAAATGCTTTGAAATTTTGATCTACTTTTGATTTCAGAAAAAGTATCTCAAAACAAATGAATGGATTTAGCAACAATTACTAACAATATATTTCTTGTTATCTTTCCTGCAGGTTCTTTATAAAAGGCCCATCTAAGGAAAACAGTTGTGCAGCTACTAAGGGAAATAAAATTTACTCAGAAAACTGCAGTCGTATATTCAAATGGATTTGTAAATTTTAGACTTTTATGATAGTGCAATAATCAGTGAAGAAAATTTTTTTCATGCTATAATATTCATCTTCAGAAATTATAATATATTCATTTTATAATCATCTTCAGAATGTTAAGATGTATTTAAGCACCAAATTTTCTGTTTAATTTTTTCCTCAATCATCTACATTGGTCCTAAGTCTCAACGTTGCCTATTTACCAAGTTAAAAAATATTTTTCAATACTTTTTTTTTATTTTTGGGTCACACCTTACCGTGCTCAAGGCTTACTCCTTGCTCTGCACTCTGAGATCTCTCCGGGTGCGGCTTAGAGGAACTCGTGATGTGCTGAAGATTGAACCTGGGTCTGAAGATTGAAGATTGAACATGAGTCTTACCAGTTGTATACTTTTTCTCTCGCCCTGGTGCTTTTTAAAGTTTTATGTGGTCATTTACATTGAGGATTTTATTCTTTTTAAGTATATTGACAGCAAATTTGATTAAATTATATCTACTTTCTTAGTTTGCACTTTTTAATTCTTAGCAATGTCCTGTGCAAACTCGATATTGTTCTAAGCATTGCGCTATAGCATAGGTTAATAAATTTTCATTCCTTCTTCGTTGTGCATTACATTTGCTTCCAAGCTTTTACTATCACACTATACTGCAATAAACATTGGAATATTTTATTCAATAATTGTACTTTTTTGATGTGAACAATCACGTTGGAACTTCTGTGTAAAATGTGTTAACTGACTGACTTTATATGCTAGGTGATAAGGTGACTGCATTTACAGGAGAAAGAACTTAACATTTTCTTCTTAAATATGTTGAGAATTAGATGACAAATTAGCATGTTTTATTTAGATTTTTCTGAATCATTTGGATATTATTTGGATATTTTAGGGTCTATTTTCTATTCTACAATCTTTCGCTTAGTCATGTCCTGTGTTGTCTTTGACTACCTTTGGATTTCCTGCTGACAAAACTCTAAAACCAGCTAGACCAGTTGAACTATGAGAACGTGCCCAGGACATTTCTGGGAAAGATTAATAGCTGTCAATTAATTAACAGTGGCCAAGTTTGAAACATAGAATGTTGACAACGATGAAATCTAGACAAATATCTTACAGGCAATAGTGACAGAATCTACATAATTTTGTTTCTGCTCATACCAGTCATCCCCATGGAATCATTGATCTAACCTTTCATCTCTCACCACCTGCCCTCGTTCTATATATATTGCATTCCATTTGCCCCTATATAATCATTGTTGATCCTGAATTAAATTGTTGACAGTGGCATCAGCCTGTAGTCTACATCTATTGACCATCAGTCATCAACTGCATTAGAATCGGCTCTGTGTACCCTGGTCACCAGATGCAGCTGGACAGTATCAGACTACCATTATAATCTTATATTTCCTTCAAGATTTGCAAATTTTAAAACAATGTTCTATATAAGCACTTGTCTCAGGACTGGGAAGGTTGCTTAAGATTCAGCATATGCTGAGCTATGCCAGGCCCAGGCCCTGAACTTGAGTTCTATAATGGCGAGCATTCAGATTGGCTATGGTGTTGGGTACGGTTTCAGTGGTTTCAGTGGACCCGGAGGATTGGCATTGTGATCCCAGCAAGGGCTCCTGAGAAGAGCTGAGCTAAATCTCAGGCACCACTCTGATAGTCTCTGAGCACCTCTGGCTTGCACTGAACCATGCTCGGTTGGGGGTGGCCTCTTAAAAGTTCAGGTCAGCATAAAAACTGAGCAAAATATTTCTGCATGGCAAAGCCTGGCAAGCTACTCATGGCATATTCGATATGCCAAAAACAGTAATAAGTCTCACAATGGAGACATTACTGGTCCCCGCTCTAGCAAATCAATGAACAAAGGTAAGACAGTGCTACAGTGCAGTGCTTTTGACTTATTTACATTTATAATATCGCAATGATTTCTGACATTGATTATTTTGATACTTTTTTCTTTCAAAATTCACTGAAGTAACATTTGTAGATCTAGGTTTCACATATAGTATTATAATTTGACATCTAATATGCTGCTTGATTTTAGCCAGCCAAAGGCTAATTTCCTCTTAACATCTTTCAATCTTAAAAATTGCATAAACCAGGGAGCCACATACAGATTGTACTCAAAGAATATTTTTTGAATATATTATCAATGGGCTGGAGCAATAGCAATAAACGGGTAGGATGTTTGCCTTGCACAAGATTGACCTGGGTTCAATTCCTCCACCTCTCTCAGAGAGCCCAGCAAGCTACCAAGAGTATCCCAGCCACATGGCAAAAGTCTGGCAAGCTACCCATGACGAATTCGATATGCCTTCTAAACTCAGGTCGGCCATGTCGGCCGCATGCAAGACAAACGCCCTACCCGCTGTGCTATCACTATGCACATTAACATTTAGTATAATATACATCTATACTAGAATGAATTAAATTATAATTACACAAAGAACATAGAAAATCAAGCTATATAGAGATTCTGTAAAATGACAATATTCTTCAAAAATTGATACAGAAAAGCAAAGACAAATTTTTTGAAAGGTGAAAAAATTAGTTTAAGGAAATTACATGAATGCTTATCAAGATATATTGGCAAATTATATAAATGCAGAAAAATATTGAAAGTGAATTTATACAGAGAAAATTTAAGAAATTACAGAGTTAAACTATTTTGCAAATGGTTATATGTAAATCACTAGAAGCACTTAGCGTATATTTATCATGCAAATCCAGTATCTGTCTGTGAAACAACTAGCCGTTAACAGACCAATATCACCGAGGTAAGGACATTCTTCTTTCATGTCAGGTCTGCAATAAAAAGATTAAACACCTGTAAGAGACTTATGACTTGTCCAATGGCAGCTTTTCAAAAAGACATGTTTTTTGTCTTGCTTCTTGAACAACTGTGTTTTGTTATAATACTTTTTTCTTAGGGTCTTTATTGACTACACACTTCCTCTCTTTCTCTTTCCTCACATCCTTCTAAACAAGTTTAATTCAATAAAAACTATCATACAGAGAGAGAAAGAGAGAGAGAGACAGAGACAGAGATAGACAGAGAAAGACAGAGAGAGTCAGAGTCAGAGCGAGACAGAGAAAAGAAAATGATTCAAAATTAGACCATACAGAGTTCTCTTTCAAGAATTTGTTGAACTGATCTCAAATTAGTCCCCTATATTCACTGGGAAGACAAATTCATATAAAGCAATGATTTGTTTTGTTATTTTTTGTTTGTTTAGGGGCCATGTTGGATGGTGGTCAGAATTTACTCCTGGCTCTGTGCTCCAGGATCACTACTGGTAGAACACAGGAGCCTCACCACCTGTGATTTTGGAGATCAAATCTGAGTCTGCTATGTGCAAGGTAACTGCCTTCGGTGTTGTACTATATCTCTGGCCCTAAACTGGTGATTTTGCCTTTCCCACCACTCGTTTCGTATTTCACAGAGATAATTGGCAATGCTAAGATATCTTTGGTTGTGCAAGTAGTAGAGAATGGAAGAAATTGCTCATATCTTGTTGAAAGAGACTAGAGATGCTGTTAACATCCCAGAATTTGCAAGAAAGTGTCCCCATAGCAAAGAATAATTCAATTCTGAATGTCATGAATGTTGCTTTGAGAAACTCTGAAGTAAAGTGACTTAGTGACTGGCTCTCACCACTTGGAATCATCATGCTGAGGCTAGGTGAACTCGATTCTCAGGTCCCATTTTCAACATCAAAATTTTGAAGATAAAATTCCAGGATGAATTGCACTTAAGTGCAAATAAAATCATGTTAAAATGAACAAGTTTAAGTCCAACTCTAAAAGGTATCAGCAAATAGGGAGTTTGAAGATTGAGTAAGGTAAGGTAAAGGTAAAGGCCCTCCCGTTGATCGTCGATTTGCTCGAGCGGGCCCAGTAACGTCTCCATTGGAGACTTGGTTGTTACTGTGTCTGGCATATCGAATACTCTCGGTAGCTTGCCGGGCTCTCCGAGAGGGGCGGAGGAATCGAACTCGGGTCGGCCATGTTGGCCGCTTGTAAGGCGAACGCCCTACCCGCTGTTATATCATTGAAGACAGGTTAAAGTAAAGAAAAATTTAATTTGGGGAGCTGTATCTATGAACTGCAGGTGTGTATTTCAAAATACTCATCAAGCAGAGTTTTACTTATTTATACCTTGATTTTAACTTCTTTGACTGTTTCTTGGAACTAAGGTCAATATGTGATACAGTATTCCCCATTCCATCCTTCCAACACACATATACATTTGGGGTTTTAGAAAAGTGTAAGGGATATCTTATTTCTAAAAAAGTCCCTAATAAAAAAATTAGTACACAAAAAAGAAATTTACCTTTTATTAAATGTGGTTGTGTTTTCCAGTGGTTCATCTTGTCCGATCCAGTGATCAAAATTACCTTTGTATCGCATAAGAAAAATCTATAGAGACAAAGTTTTCATCATTTTACATACCACTTTTTACTATACCAGTGCGTTTATCTTGCTTTATGAGTTGTGAGGAGCCACAATTTCTAACTTTATCAAAAAAACTGGACTGGAGCAATAGCACAGCGGGTAGGGTGTTTGCCTTGCAAGCATCCAACATGGCCAACCCGAGTTCGATTCCTCCGCCCCTCCTGGAGAGCCTGGCAAGTACCTACCGAGAGTATCTTGTCCACACCACAAAGCCTGGCAAGCTCCCCGTGATGTATTCGATATGCCAAACACAGTAACAATTGTCACAATGGAGACGTTACTGGGCCCACTCGAGCAAATAGATGAACAATGGGAGGACAGTGACAGTGACAGGGATCAAAAAAACTAATAGAATTTAAAAACATTTATTTTTACTTCTGATCTTCAGCTTTCTTATTCGTGACAAAGATATTAGATCATTTAAAAGACAGTTTTTAATTACAAAAAGTTTTTGATTACTGAAGCGATAACATAGTAGCTAGGGTAACTGCCTTGCATGCAGCTAATATGGTTCAATTTCAGGCCCCAAGTTCAAAAATCTCAAGCCCCATCAAGAAAATTCCTGAGTTCAAAGCCAGGAGTAAGCTCTGAGGACTATTCGGTGTGACTCACAAAAGCAAAAACAAAAAAAAATTAAAGCCTGGAAAACACAATTTTGACATTATCTTACTCCAAGTTTCAATTTTATAAGAACTGAATGGAAATTGTAAGATCACAACATGATGGTTCATTCCAATCTAATAATAGTAAAAATCTGATAAACATTGACATTTTAATATACCTGAAAAGTAATAGCACATTCTGTAAGAACAGTTAATTGAGAAAATTTGATTCATTGCGTCAAGTTTTTAATTTGCAAATATATATATATATATTTATTAAAATTTGTAAAAAAAAAAAAACTATGCACGCTGAAGATTGTGTGTTCACGGGCTCTCTGGATGGCTCTATCTCACTGCCCACATTCGGTGCCCAAGAGCCGCTGTGTGTGGCCTGGATTGGGACAGCTGTTGGCCAAGGGCAGATGAAGGAAGAAGTGAGAGCCAAGCTGGTTGGTTTTAGATGCAGTTTATTCCAATCTTCTCATTCTTATCTCTCCTCAGCCTCCTTCCCAAGCTCCCTTGCCTCCAACTCCCCTGCACTCTGGGCTGACACTGCACCCAGTCAGGTAGCCAAATCAACATAAGAAAGCCCTCTCTGAGGGCTCACCTAAAAGGTATCTAAAGCCCTTCCTGACTGCCCAAGGGCAACATACATCCTAAGGTGTTTTTCTCTTTTCCTCAGTCCAATAACTATCAACATATCAATACTAGCTATTTTTTGTATGGACACAGTAAGAGATAACATTGAGACTTGTAGGGCAGCTCCCCTGGGGACATCTTGCCACAGACTCAGACTACAGCACTAAGGCCTGATTAATCATTCCTAACCCTACCAGATCTAGTTATTACTTTTTGGATCATGACAGCATTTCTCCATGACCAGGCTCTTAACTTATAGTTAAGTATTATGAAGCTTTGGCCAGGCCCATGTCCATGCCAGGGTAGCACATAGCTTACCGCTTGCCCTGGTTCCATCCAGTCCCTCTTCGGGACCCTGCTTTTGGGGGTGCTAGGAAGTAAAGGCAGCTGAGGCTTAAGTGAGAGAACAGATGCCCAGGAGGGAAATATCACTGAGAGTCACATAACACAAGAATGTCTTCTTGTGTCCATACAAAAAGGACATTGCTGGAATAACCTATGCAAAGGACTTAGGGAGAAGAGAAAAACATATTTACAAGTCAAGGGCACACAAAAAGAAGTTACAAATAAACACAGAGGAATGGGAGCACCTGTGATGGGAGCAACCCAATAAACGTAAACTACCTGAGGCTATGCAGGAAAGACAAAACAGTGTTATCCTACAAAAATCCTCTTCCTAGATAAAGAGTTTTGTTAGTAATGAGGAAAATTATGTAATGGTAGTTAAAAAATGTTATCCTACTTATGAAGATGATGAATCAATTAAGAGAAAAGTGAACTTTGGGTTTCAGGAGAAAACTTTTGAGTATTTATAGGAGATTCTCAAAGGAAAAATATATGCCTAAAAGGTGTCCCCTGTAAAAGAGTAGTAGATTCCATGATATATATGGAAGACAAGAGATGAGAGGACAATTCATACTCTAAGTTTAAGAAAGAGCTATGCAGCACAATTTCCTAATAATGTATTTTAAAAGTTGCTTACCTTTTCTTCCTTGTTGTGATATGTAGCTAGTTCAGCATGATGATTAGAGCAATTATGGCTACTTGAATTCCAGTCCCCTTGTTCTTTAGAGAAAAGGTAACATTTTCCTTGGAAACCAATCCAATAATCTGGACAAGTACATGGAGGACAATGATGGTCTTTTTTGACTGGAATTGAAAAACATATATTTCAAGGACTATGTGAAATAATACTACATTTTGGGATTATTGGAGAAGGACTTCATTGTGGAATCATGGTCATAGATGGATATTTATCACATACCAAGTTGGTAAACTGATTTTGAGGGTGGTCTTTCCAAGCATTGTTCAGGAGACCTATTTGGGGGGGGGGGGGTCCCAGTAATTTTCAAGCAAACTGACTAGGGACTCAATGTGAGTGCTGTGGATTGGGAATCATCTAGACCACCTCTGTGGTACTTGAGGCTCCAGCGTGATGCCTGACTGTGCACAAGTACCCAGAGACTCATACTTGGAATTCAAGGATGTATCAAGTGATGCCTGTTAGAACAGGTAATGCCATGTTAACTAGAGATTGGCCACATGTAGGGCAAGTGCCCCAACACCTGTACTATCTCTCTGGTACTGATAACTAACTTTCATATCTCATTAAATGATAACAGATCAGGGTTTGACAAGACATAAATTTTCCTTTCATTTTGCCCTCAGTAAGATACATGGGCCTTTCCAAAGTAAACAGTATGGTTTCATTTGCATTAAGTCTCCTTCACTCTTGGGTGAATGAAATCTTAGCGGGATTTTGAATAATTACTTAACTTTTGTAGGAATAAACATGGCCGACCCGAGTTCGATTCCTCCGCCCCTCTCGGAGAGCCCGGCAAGCTACCGAGAGTATTCGATATGCCAGACACAGTAACAACAAAGTCTCCAATGGAGACGTTACTGGGCCCGCTCGAGCAAATAAACCTATAACACAAGTTTTAATTTCTAAGGGAGAAAAAAAGTACCAGTCCAAAATATACAACTAAAATGATGTTTTATGCTTCTTCTTGTCAAATATAAACCACCACCACCACCACTGTATGGTCCTGGGTTAAACAATGAGGAGAACACAAGTGAGATTTTGCAGGGAAAAATACAGCAGAAGTCATTGTTCTTGAGTCTGTGGGCATTAGACCTCCAAAACCTTTTCATCAGTTCTCCTTTTGTAGTCTGAGAAGCTAGAAAATTCTTAGAATTTTCTACAATCTCATCTCACAGAGATTCATTAAAAAAAATTCTAATAGTCATTGAAAGAAAAAAAAAATTCTACAATCTCTGGGTTCTCCAAAAACATTAGTGCATCAAGATAAATTTATTAGTTACTATTTCTACTCCAGTCTTATGGACTTTTAGACCATCATCTTCCAACTCTTCCTTCAATCAAACTATTCTCATTTACTATATTGAATTTCTAATCTCAACATTTTTAACGTTTAAGTTCCTGAACAAGACTAAATCAATTTTGGATTTCAGAAGTTCCTCAGGGGAGATAGCTTAAAAGACTAAGCACATACCTTACATGCAGAAGGCCCAGTTCAGTCATAAGCACTACATGGTCTCCTGAGCACTGCTAAGTATAACCCCTACGCACAGAGCCAGGAGAAGTGCCTGGGTACCACTGGCTATGGAGCAAGTACCAACCCCCACCCCCACCACCAAAAA